AGGAGCTTTGACTCTTGAAATCTCATACTCCCAAAATCTTGTTGGTTTCTAAGGTGCTACTTGAATCTAGCCGTTCCACTGCAGATCAGCTCAGCTACCTTCTTGAACTGTCTTCAAGTGAGACCCGGCTGTCCCCACCCTGGCGGAACGTTTGTGCCCTGCGGGATCTATTACCTTTCCGTGGGGCTTGTAAGGCAGAGGTGGTCCGCCAGGCTGTTTGGTTGAGGTCAGCGATGGGACAGCAACTAATCTGGCACCCTCATACCTCCCATCTCCCCTCACCCACCCCCTTAGGAGGCTACGGGGAAGCTGCAGTCCCCTCGTCCCCGTCCCCCCAAAATGTTTGCCAACTTGGAAAAGACTGGTGTGTTTCCCCCCCCTATCGATTTGTATGGTGACGTGGATCTTCCCTTGACCGCCGGTGTGAAGGACGGTCGATGCTGATGACAGGCTTGTTGTCATCTAACAGCTGGCTTCTCTGATGGGTTCTTGTGATTGCTGGTTCCTCGGTGGGGATGCCAGCGCTGATTTCTTTGGCGGTCTGCAGACTTGTGCTAGATGGACCCGCCTTCCGCACGCTCGACACACAATGTCTTTGGTCCAACAGTGCTCTTCAGGGTGGTTTCTGCCACAACCGGCGCCTGCCGGCCTGGCTGCAGTCTTCACTTGGGTCTGCTTGTCCGCTTCCGCTTTAACTGCGTATACGTCGTCTACGTCACCGCCCTCATTGCTGGAAGCCTGGTGGTGGACACGCTGCTCTGTTGATGCCAAACGCTGGCGTACCTCTCTGGTTGACTTGTCGGCTGCTTCTGCGGCGATGGCCTCAGTGTAGGCGACAGCCCAAGTCAGGGTAGTGTGGGTGAGCAACCGCTATTGCAACCTTTCGTCCCTCATCCCGCACACCAGTCGGTCTCGGAGGGCCTCTTTGATGTTCGCGAAGTCGCAGGGCCTCGCAGCCTTGCGCAACGCCGCTACGTACTCGGCCGCCAACTCGTTAGCTGCCTGGCTTCTTTTATAGAAGGCATGCCTGCAGGCAATTTCTGACGGCTGAGGAGAGAAGTGCGTTTTCAACTTCTCTGTCAGGTCCTTGAACAGAACCGTCTTGATGTCCACTGGTGCTACCAGCGACCGGGCAATGTCGAAAACGCTCTTGCCGCAAGAGGTCAGGAAGGTTGCCCGCTTCTTCTCTTCGGTCGCGATGTCGTTTGCTTTGAGGTCGAACTCGAACCGCGTCAGGTAAGCGTCCCAGTCCTCGGTGGTGGGTTCGAATGCCTCGAACTTCTGGCTATTGGCCGTCGTTGCATGCGCTTCCTCCAGATCTGGCGGTGCCTGCTGCTGATCGGCCATGGTGCGATGCTCGCTGTTGTCCGTTGTGGGATCGTTTAGCGGGGCTGCCTACCCGCACTAATATCCCATCCTCGTCACCAATTGTTAAGTCGCTCGCTTAACAAAGAAGTTGGAGAGTGATTCAGCAAGAACACAACTTTATTCTTCAACTTGAACACAACTCCAACACGGATCAACATCTGATAGCCAGAACAGAACAGTTAAGAACATAAGAACATAAGAGATGCCAATGCTGGATCAGGCCAAAGGCCCATCCAGTCCAACATTCTGTGTCACACAGTGGCCAGAAATACCAGTGCCATCAGGAGGTCCACCAGTGGGGCCAGGACATTAGAAGCACTCCCACTGTTGACCCCCCCCCCCAAGCACCAAGAAGACAGAGCATCACTTGCCCCAGAGTCCCTATCTATACCTTGTGGCTAATAGCCACTGATGGACCTCTGCTCCATATGCTTATCTAATTCCCTTTTGAAGCCGTCCATGCTTGTAGCACCCACCACTTCCTGTGGCAGTGAATTCCAAGTGTTAATCACTCTTTGGGTGAAGAAGTACTTCCTTTTATCCGTTCTAACCCGACCGCTCAGCAATTTCATGGAGTGCCCACGGGTTCTTGTATTGTGAGAAAGGGAGAAAAGTACCTCTTTCTCTACCTGCTCTTTCCCATGCATAATCTTATAAACCTCAATCATGTCACCCCTCAGTCGTCGTTTCTCCAAGCTAAAGAGCCCTAAGCGCCTTAACCTTTCCTCATAGGGAAAGTGTTCCAACCCCTTTATCATTCGAGTTGCCCTTTTCTGCACTTTTTCCAGTTCAGCTTTTACATTGCAGTTGTCCTGCTTTTAAACTCTCCCGGCTAATGTAGCCACACCCACTGTACAAATACAAACTAATACGGTTGTTCATATAAGGACCAATCACAGACGTTCCCGCTCAGGGAGCTTGCTGTAAGGTGATTGGCTAGGTGCTTCCTGGGCTAGCAATGCGATTGGATGGATTTGGATCCTAGCCCAGGATGAAGCTCAACATGGCAAGTCAATTAGATGTTTCACATACATCATGCATTCAATGGCAGCTATTGAATACATTACAGGTTTCATATCCCATAAGTCATTGCTGGTTTTCTAAAAGGAAGTTGTAGAAGCCAGTAGTTTGAAAGAGAACTCCATGGCCAGGAGGGTTCTAAACGCCTTGTTCCCTGTGAGCCGAACGTAAATGCTCAGGATACCACAGGCTAAAAGAGATCCGTTCAAATAATCACAGCGTTCTTGAGGTAGATTCCTGAGGAGGCAAGCTGCAAAAGCAGCATGCCCGATCAGTGTGGGAACTAGGTTTGCCGATGGGGCTGGAGGGGAAAATATGCACTGTCCCTTTAAGGTAAAGGTAGAGGTTTCCCTTGCTCAGAAGCTAGTTGAATCTGACTCTAGGGGTCAGTGCTCTCCTCCATTTCCAAGCCGAAGAGCCAGTGCTGTCCGAAGACTTCTCTGTGGTCATGACTAAATGCTGAGGCACACAGAACGCTGTTACCTTCCCACCAAAGTGGTACCTATTTATCTACTTGCAGTGTCTTGCTTTCGAACTGCTAGGCTGGCAGGAGCTGGGGCCAGAGACGGGAGCTCACTCCGTCACGTGGCACTCGGGTCTCGAACTGCCAAACTACAGACCTTCCGGTCTGCAGCTCAGCGTCTTAACCTCTGAGCCACCGTGGCCCCTTTAATAGAGGCTTATTGGGTGCTGTTATTTACCTCCATGCCATGAAAAACTTCAGCTGCCGGTTTCTCCACATTAAGTTTCTGTTAAAGGGATCGGACATTTTTCTCCAGGTCTGCCGATAACATTAGAGGTAACTCTTACAATCAAATGTGTATTGCTGGAAAACAGAAGATCTCCTATGGTTAGTGTATCATCTAGACCAGACCTCAGTCTTCTGGGAAGGGGAGTAGGGACTCTCCACCGCAGTGTAGGGATGGAAGCAGATTCTCCTCCTTTTAAAAAGCGGGTGCTCATTCAGCTGCCGTACCGCACTCCGCTAGTTTCCAGATCACATCACAGCACTAAAAAGTGTGTGTCATTGACCAGTTTGGTGTAGTGGTTAAGTGTGCGGACTCTAAGCTGGGAGAACCGGGTTTGATTCCCCCACTCCTCCACTTGCACCTGCTGATGTGACCTTGGGTCAGTCACAAGCTCTGGCACAGCTGTCCTTGAAAAAGGGCAGTTTCTATCAAGAGCTCTCTCAGCCCCACCCACCTCACAGGGTGTCTGTTGTGGGGAGGGGGAGGGAAAGGAGTTTGTAAGCGGCTCTGAGACTCCAAGTGAAGGGCGGGGTATAAATCCAATCTCTTCTCTTCTTCTTCTTCACTGAGGAAGGCTCTTGAGGCTCCACGCATATGGCCTTGTCTTGGTCATTTGACACGTTCATCAATTTCGTATGGATTATTTTATTACAGTTTGGCGTAGTGGTTAAGAGTGACGGACTCTAATCTGGAGAACTGGGTTTGATTCCCCACTCCTCCACATGAAGCCTGCTGGGTGACCTTGGGCCAGTCACAGTTCTCCCAGAGCTCTTCTCTCAGGAGCTGTTCTCTCAGAGCTCTCTCAGCCCCACCTACCCCACAAGGTGTCTGTTGTGGGGAGAGGAAGGGAAAGGAGATTGTAAGCCACTCAGAGACTCTGAGTGAAGGGCGGGGTATAAATCCAACTTCTTCCTCTTCCTCCTCCTCTTCTTCCTCGTCTTGCATTTTCCCCTTGACATGTACTGGAATGAATCTTGTCAGAAAAAAGAACCTGTGAAGCCCATCCAGGAAATCCATCCTACCCATTGACTGTGCACAAAACAAGACTAATATGAACTGTGATTGTGTGAAGGCTCCCCAGGGGCCTTGACTGGGTTTTTGCTCTTGCTAATTTCAAATGTCTTTCTGGATTACGTTCGATTGTGTGTGTGAGTCTGTGTGTGGAGAAAGCCTCTGCATGCAAAGCTAAGAGGCAGTGGCAAGATTCTCTGGTGTGTCTTGACCAGCCTAGCTCCCCATCTAGTGAACAATCAGTCTCCACGTCCTTCCATGGCATTCTCTCTCTCTCTTTCCTTCTCTGTCCCCCCCCCACATTCGTATGCAGACGTGACTAGGGGACAGCAGCCTTTGCAAAAACAAAAAACAAAAACCCACTGAATTTCTGAAAGCCCTCAAGAAATTTCTCGAAAAGGAAGAGCTGCCACTTAGTAAACACATAGGAAAACCGCGCCCTTCTTTCCCCCACCCCACCCCAGCCTTCCCCATCTCCCCCTTTCCATCCACACCCAATTTGTTTTTGTTCCTCAGCTGTCTGGCTTAGTTAACCATTTCGGGGGCTGAAGCGGTCCTTCTCCCCCCCCCCCCAAGTTGGCAAAGCGACCACTGCATCTCTCCCTTTTCTGGAAGGAAAAAGAAAAAAAGGACCGGTCCCAGGGGCCATCGCACAGCATCCTTCTGCTGATTTGCTGCAGTGGAAACCGCAGCCCTTCCCC